AAAATCACCTGGAATTTTCATTGTTGAAACTGTATGAAGAATTGCACTATTTCAGGGGATATTTGGGATGGAGTCTTAAGAAATGCAAATGAGGCCAGAGTCGGGCAATCATATATGGAGGAGGTTGTGGAACCATTTCTATCAGAAATAACTGGAGGAACTACTGATACTGAACATCTAAATGGACCTAGTTGTGTAACAGGATGAGAAAGGGAGAGCTAGAGGGACATAACTGGGATCACGGTGCCAGGACTTTCTCTAGACGTGACTGAGATGGTGCTAATGTATCACAATAACTGTGCATAGATTATATTACAGCAGAGATGGCAAACCATCTCAGATGGTCTCAGAGGTTACCTGCAGGGATTAAACCATTTCTCTTATACCTCTATGAATGGGTCCCCACTATGCTTTGTCCCTATATTTGATCATGCATATAACCAAAATATTAGCTATGTCTACATTGATGGCTTGTTCTAGGGTGAAATATTAAAATTAATAAAAATCGTAACTCCATTACTGGCTTAGAAAAATGTACCCAGTGGAAAATTACTTTACCATCTTTTGATGCCGCATTCCTATCTATTCTTAAACTAGAAAGTCTAAGGCAGGAGACATTTGGCAATTTGGTCATTCTGTCTTTCAGGATTGATATGTACACAGAGGGTGTGGCAGACTTGGGTGAAATGATCCTGCTTTGGCCCCTGTGCCCACCTGATCAAAAAAATGCCAAGTTGACCCTGATCCGAGAAAGGACAACAAACCGTTATCTCCCTGCATTTGAAAAAGTAAGTGGACTGTTTAGTGGTTTTGACACTGAGATGAGAGGACAAAGGAACATAGTGCCTGGCGTTGCTGGGGCATCGACCTTCACTTCTGTGAACCTTCCTGAGGACTAGTGCAGCATCCTGATGCTCAGGGCATTTTCTAAAAGTTGACTCTGAGGGAGAATTGTACCAGTTTTACACACATTGTCATTTTTCAGCATAATTTCTATTGACTCAGACCCAGTCTGAAATTCTCTGTTCAATGGAATTTCATGGTTTTACTTAGAGCTTGGACTGTGGAAGTTCTGAGAGCCACACTGGAGCCTGGAGTAGATGGATTCTGGAGAACACAGTGCAGGGGCTTTGATCCAAGAAGAGCATGATGTTAGCAATACATCAGAAAATATTCTGGTACCATGAGCAGGGAGACGTGAGAGCAGCTGCCTGTCAGGAGAATGTGGAAGCATTTCTGGGATGGATGAAATATTTCTCAACAGAGATGGGGGCAGTACTGGGGAGGAAGAGACAGAGGAAAAGATGTTCAGGAGAAAATAGTCGCAAATTTTTGGGGACTTGGCTCTCAGACTTTTGAAGAAGGTCATACAAAGCCAAGGAAATAATGTTTCATCATTACGCCTAGTATATATCTTAGTTAATGTTTCTTCTTGATGGTAAGAGGAGAGCATTTCAAGATCAAAATTACCTGAAATCATGCTAAACAAAAATGATTAACCTAGAGAAAAAGTGATTTTAAGAGATTCAGGAGGGTTACATACATAGATAAAGATTAACACAGAGCATAGGGTCATTCTTTCATTTATTCAGCAAATGTTAATTCATTGCTTGCTTATCTGGCCATATTCAAGGAGCAAAGAATTAAATAGTAATCAGAAAGCACACCCTCCCGGCCCTTGAGGTGCTGGGAGTTTATTCAACATTCACGAGATGATAAGCTCTTTGATGATTGCAGTTTGAGTTCATCTGTACTTTGATTTATGGGTTGAGAAGATTCTCCTAGAGGAGGAAATAGCAATCCACTCCAGTATTCTTGCCTGGAAAATACCATGTACAGAGGGGCCTGGCAGGCTACAGTCCATGAGGTCACAAAGAGCTGGACAAAACTGAGCATGAGCACTGATGAACAGAGGGTACTTTGAAAACAAAGGGCCCCCGATAGCATAAGTAAAAATTATATTTTACAAAATATGTTTTGATGGCTTTTCCAAATGATTATCCATTTGTCCATGCTTTTATATTTTTTGCTTTGTTTTCTTTTTTAGTTGCTCAGTAATATCCAACTCTTTGTGCCCTCATGGTCTGTAGACCACTAGGCTTTCCCTGTCCATGGGATTTCGCAGGCAAGAATACTGGGGTGGGTTGCTATTTCCTTCCCCAGGGGATCTTCCCAACCCAGGGATCAAACCCTGGTCTCCTGCACTGCAGGCAGATTCTTTACCACTGAACCACCTGGGAAACCCTCCATGCTTCTGTATGTATATATAATCTGAAAGTGTATNCTCTGCAGATGGTGCTAAGCCCTTGGCCCAGTGGAAGAAGTAAGGCAGCCACAGCGAGGAGGGAAAAGGAAAAGGAAATTATAGTCTGGCTTCCACTGGGGATGAGGAGGGAACAGCAGGGACTCAGCTGGCCCATCTCACTGAGCTGGGGGGAGCAGAAGGTCTGGGGTCCCCACCTGCCCAGGGAGGGGCAGAGGGGGAAGTGGGGCTGGGTGAGGGGCAGGGGAGGAGCAGGGCCCGAGCTCTCTGGACCTGCATTCCTGATCTGACCCCTCCATTCGCCAGGTGCTGAAGAGCCACGGACAAGACTACCTGGTGGGCAACAAGCTGAGCAAGGCTGACATCCACCTGGTTGAACTGCTCTACTATGTGGAAGAGCTGGACTCCAGCCTTTTGGCCAACTTCCCTCTGCTGAAGGTGAGCTCTCCCACGACTCTGGACTGGGAGGTGGGAGGGATGGAGTGGAGGTGGAGGGGTAGGGATGGGGGTGTGCCCACACCTCCCACCTCAGAATCTGTTCTCTGAACACTGGGACCGCAGTGCTAGGGTCCCCACCGTATCATTTCTTCCCCTCAGTTCCTGTTCCTTCTCTCACACGTTGATTTGTCTCTCCCCTTCTCTCTCTCTCTCCGAGGGCAGATTGGTTCTGACTGACGTCACACATTACCTTTCATGTTTTCTGTCTTCAGTTCCAGCCCCATCTCCTATCTCTTCTTGTCTTGATACCTGGAGCTTAATCTGTGCTGATGTCTGACACTTTTTTCTTCCTTACACTGCACTTGAGGGTGAACCTGCAAGACTGATGTGTAGGAAGATCGGGACGCTGAATGGAGTCTTACAGTAAGACATCTCTGGGGAAAATGCTTTGGGCTGTCATCTTCCTGGCTCACTGGATGTCTATGTCCAGTCTTCTCCTGGTGCTGATGGAGGGGCCTCAGCTGGACCTTGTCTGGGAGGGTCTCAGAGTCCCTGCTGGCTTGTGTCAATGACGGGGGTGGTCTTTAGCGGCACTCTGACCTGTGCTCTTATGGGTTGCAGGGCCTGAAAACCAGAGTCAGCAATCTCCCGGCCGTGAAGAAGTTTCTGCAGCCTGGCAGCCAGAGGAAGCCTCCAGGGACTGAGAAAACTCTTGAACAAGCCAGAAAGATTTTCAAGTTTTAATAAAGCCAGTGGGGCCACCCAGAACATTGAGGACCAAACTTATGAAACTTCTGGCAATGAAGTTTTTATCTAGGCGTAGACCATGAGTATTGTGAGACTAATAAACTATTCCAAAGTTTTAGTGGCCAGTAAATAATAAAGCTCCAATGAGCAGATTTAGTTGCTCTTTTCCTTTAGAATCAAATATAAAATCAGATTTTCCATCTCTTTCTAGCACATCTCTTTTTCGGAATTAAAAATTAAATACAAAAGGGAAATATAGATTATGTCATCCCCTTGATTTTTTTGGTAAGAATTATCATATAACATCTGTCACATAGCTTATCAAAGAATCAAGTGTAGAAATTCATAATCTGACAATCTTAGGTTTCCACAGGAAAGAGCTATTTTTCTGGTGTCAATGAAAACAATCAACAAATAATAATAAGAACAGGCAAGAGCTTTACTTGAGCAAACTGAGGACTAGCCAGAAAGATACCTTCCCAGATTACTCTGAGCAGCTTGCTCTGGACATATATGGTTTCCAGCACAGTTTC